AAAACATGACTCAACATTAAAAAAAATAAACATGTGATGACTAGAGTGAAAGAATAAAACATGTTATGACTCAACATTAAAAAAATAAACATAAGTTGACGAGAGTGAAAGAATAAAACATGACTCAACATTAAAAAAAATAAACATGTGATGACTAGAGTGAAAGAATAAAACATGTTATGACTCAACATTAAAAAAAATAAACATGCGATGACTAGAGTGAAAGAATAAAACATGTTATGACTCAACATTAAAAAAAATAAACATGTGATGACTAGAGTGAAAGAATAAAACATGTTATGACTCAACATTAAAAAAAATAAACATGTGATGACTAGAGTGAAAGAATAAAACATGTTATGACTCAACAGTGAAAGAAAATACATGTACTTGATGCCTCAACAGTGAAAGGAAGGGGAAAGGAATAAATAAACATGTGATAACTTTAAAAAATCCTGAAAAAGGAATTTAAAATTCTTTCTATCACTCCTTACCCACCTTTCTTCTTGGATTTTCTACCTTCTGTCAGTAACCTTTGTTTTTTCTCATTCTTGTCACGCTCTACAGAAAGAGATTTGCGTTTTCTTTTCCCTGACTTTTCTTTTTCAACATTCATGTCACTCATTTTAGTTTCCTACATTAGAGACATTTGAATTTCAGTAACATTTTACAGTAATTCAGTGTATCATAGAATTCTTAGAAGCCATTTTCCATATTCAACAAAAACTTTTAGGAAACAATTAAAATACAAATCCAGAGTAAACAAGGATTACCAATACCTTCTGATTACATTTACCGGTAGTAATTCAGTAATTTATTGTTAAACTATCAACTATCAACTTTGTTTATCATTCACTAATAATATAAAACATGAATATAAGTCTTGTTTATTGATATGCATAAATTGGAACACAGTTCCTATATAAGATCAAATAAGATAAGATAATTCTTTATTACAACCATATTGATAGAAATTCAATTTAGGTGAATACAAATGTAATAAAGGTATAACAAATTATTCTAAAAACTAAAACAATACTTATCATAAAGATACAGTAAAGAAATATTACTGGTACTTGAAGATAAAAATTAAAATATTACATTTCCATGAGTTTTTGTTTAACATTGATAATATTGTTTTTTTGTCGTATATGATGTTTTTATGTATTTAATTAATTCTTTTATCAATTGTCTGTTCTCAGCATTTAAAATGTAAACAAGTTTTTCTGTATTTTTTGTGTAGTATAAAGACTACATGATGTGAAAAAGTGTAGCTCATCTTCAGTAATATTACATTTTGCACATTTTCTATCTTCAATTTTTATTTTTATTTTTGGTTATTGGTGTCTTTCAGATTCAATGATTAGTTTATGTTCACTTAGTCTTAGTCTATTTGGAATTTGGATCACTATTACTCAAGTTCCATTTTGTTTCATAGTATTCTTCAGTTTTCTGTTTAAATTCATGTTTGTTGATGTTTTTTATGTCATGTATATGGTAAATTTATTGTAATTTCTGAAGATTTGTAAACCAAGAATCTTTGTATTGATTCTGTTGCTGGTCTATTAATGCATCGTATGCCAAGCTTATTGGACCATTCCTCGAAATATTGAGATAATATTTTATGGCTTGGTATTGTATTTTTGCAATTAAAGGGAGCCGCCCAATCTTCATTCTAGTGCCAATGTTGCTGGTCTTGTTATAGACATTTAGTAGGTGTCTACATTACCCGAGATGGTGTTTTTCTGTTTTTGTTTTGTCCCAGTGTTCCTGATTTATAATGATACCCCAAATTTCTGATGCATATGTTAAGATAGGCATTTGAATACTCTCAAATAATTGTACATTGTAGTTGTAGATTAATGTTTGTTGATCCTGATAATAATGTTTTTGTCATTGCTTCTGATTTCCTAGCTTTATCAGTCAGTCTGTCAATTGTACAGTTCAATGACCCATGTTTATTAAATGTAACATCTAAATAAGTAAATGTATTACTTATCTCTATCGAATTATTGCCAAATGTAAATTGTGTGTTTCTCGGTTTTTGCCCAATTTTTTTGAAAATCATTATTTTTGTATTTTTGGTATTTAATTGCAGACCCCATTTATTTGTATATTGATGCAATGTGACAAGTGCTTTTTGTTAATCATTTTCTGTTAATGCTGTCAATACAATGTCATCAGCAAATAACAGTGAGGTAATAGCCTGACCACTTAATACAGGAGCACTGTTTGTGCATTTATTTATCTCCCCCACTAAGTTCATTGATAAATAAATTAAATAGTGTTGGACTTAGTATATATATTCAACCCAAATCCAATCAGGTATGTGCATTGTCCTAGATCATTGTACCAAGTTTCATTGAAAAGTGGTGGTTGAAGAAATGTCAGTGGAAATTGATTATTATTAACGTAATATCATATTTATTTCATTACGGTAAATGCAGTTTTCTTAAATGCAAGTGTATGTACAAACCTTGGGTTGGCTTTCTTCTTGTGCCATGATGTTATCATTTACATTTCTACTATGATCTGATTCCTTTTCTTCATCATCACTTTTCCGTCCTTCCTCAGTTCTGATTGCTGGTACTTCAGAGGGACAATGATCTCCCTTAGTGTCCAAAAAATACAACCTATCTTTGGGGTTATTTGTGCTGTCAGTACCATGTGGGGGAATGAAGGTGCTATGGCAATCAGGAGTCTGTGTCTTCTGTTGATACAGATTTGTCAGGGAGATATTCACCATATTTGTGTCCTTTAGAGATAAAACATAAGTGTCACAATCCCCGTCTATGAAAAAGAAATCTGATCACAAGAAATATTGACACCATTCTGTCTTACCTTCTAACAAATAAGACAAAACAAGTAATTTGTTTACATAATTCCTATGAGTAATCAAGTTTAATAAATATATAATGTTTGAGCATAAATGGTCTGAGCATGTCAGAGATATGGCTTCGGAAGAGCATTCATTGAAACAAAATGGCCACCAGTCAGCCATTGTGAATCTGATCAAGAAAACCATAATATTTAATGTACATACCAAGTTAGAACAAAATCTGCAGGACCAGGAAATTGCAGAAATGCGTTTGATATATTGATGAATTTTTAACATTAAAATGGCTATATAACATTCGGCCATATTGAATCATCAAGTAAATACATGCGACATGATGTGAGAGGTTTGAAAATGATTTTAAAACAAAATGGTCACCAGTTGGTATTTTTGAATCCAGTCTAAAAATATAAACAGATAGGCATCAAAGAACCATAGTTTTCAATGTATGTACCTAGTTTGAACAAAATCCATCCATAGAAGACCAGTTTTCAACAATAAACATTCTAATTTTTAACATTAAAATTTCTGCCATTCTGCCATCAGACTATCATAAAAGGAATAGATGTGAAAATGTATCCCAAGATTTATGATGTGTGTGTGAAGTTTAAAAAAGATCAGCCAAGAAATGTCCAAGATGCGGGTCGGGAAGGATAATCAGACAACCCACGAGTCCTCGTTTTAGGACTGCGTCCGATCATGGACTGAAAATGTGGCTTTGATGTATGTACATGTATGCAAAACATGTAATTAACAACAGATATTTCAGCAATACACATGCAAGTGCAGATGGATAGATGTAGGTGAATTTATCCCTGCTTATGACATTTTACCTAAAAGTGAAATACAATACAACCTGTGTTTCAACATATTCCTGGTTGTCTGGAGAGAACTCAATGTCACTTTCTTCACCACTATCATCACTACTGAAATATAAATACAATGGAGATTATAATAAGCTATTTACCAGCCTATAGTAGATAACAACAGTATATACGTACATGTATAATAATATGTCATTTGAATTCATCCAGTTTTAGTCATTACCTATCATCCTTCTTGAGTCGTTTTGATATGTGTTCATCTTCCAACTCATCAATATCAATAGACTCTTTTCTCTGTGCCTCACTTTTCAACCAATCGTACACTATAAAAGTAATAGAGAAAATAAGTAATAGATGTAATAACTGAATGACAAGTCAACAGACCTACATTGCTTAATGCCCTGTAAAGACTTTCACCTTAAGCCAATGATTCTTAATGCCCTGTAATGGCTTTACACCTTAAGCCAATGATTCTTAATGCCCTGTAATGACTTTACACCTTAAGCCAATGATTCTTAATGCCCTGTAATGACTTTACACCTTAAGCCAATGATTCTTAATGCCCTGTAATGACTTTACACCTTAAGCCAATGATTCTTAATGCCCTGTAATGACTTTACACCTTAAGCCAATGATCTTAATGCCCTGTAATGACTTTACACCTTAAGCCAATGATTCTTAATGCCCTGTAATGATTTTACACCTTAAGCCAATGATTCTTAATGCCCTGTAATAACTTTACACCTTAAGCCAATGATTCTTAATGCCCTGTAATGACTTTACACCTTAAGCCAATGATTCTTAATGCCCTGTAATGACTTTACACCTTAAGCCAATGATTCTTAATGCCCTGTAATGACTTTACACCTTAAGCCGATGATTCTTAATGCCCTGTAATGACTTTACACCTTAAGCCGATGATTCGTAATGCCCTGTAATGACTTTACACCTTAAGGCGATGATTCGTAATGCCCTGTAATGACTTTACACCTTAAGCCAATGATTCGTAATGCCCTGTAATGACTTTACACCTTACGCCAATGATTCGTAATGCCCTGTAATGACTTTACACCTTAAGCCAATGATTCTTAATGCCCTGTAATGACTTTACACCTTAAGCCAATGATTCTTAATGCCCTGTAATGACTTTACACCTTAAGCCAATGATTCTTAATGCCCTGTAATGACTTTACACCTTAAGCCAATGATTCTTAATGCCCTGTAATGACTTTACACCTTAAGCCAGTGATTCTTAATGCCCTGTAATGACTTTACACCTCAAGCCGATGATTCTTAACTCGCTGCACTAACCTCATTGTTTTAATTTAAGAACAGAGTATATATCTGTCATGACACTTACCTCGCTGTACTGACCTTCGAAAAACGTTCTTCTTCCTTCTCATATATTCACTGTAAAATGAAACGATAACTATATTGACTGGTTCTTGTAATGATTCTAACATTTGATACTTGATTTTGTTTCTGTCATTGCTTATTTGGAAATTACACCCATTTAGTTACTAAAGTATTTTTCATTAATTGGACATTTCAATAGTTTCAGATTCTGAGAAAACTTATTTAGTCGACAATGTACAATGTTTACAACACTTGTGACGCAAAGTGTGCCCAAACGTAGTGATTATTTATTTCAGAAGTAAGACGACAATATACTGCAGCAAAAATTTAGTGCAATCATGAATTACATGGTCTGTCATAGCTCATAGTTCTAAAACTGGTAATCAGAATGTTGTAAAAAAAGATGCCTGTTTTTTAATGATGCTCTGAAAAATTCAATAATGATCACTGGATTAAATTATCTGGAACTAGATATATATCACATAAACTTAACAATACATCTAATCATAAATGTAAACTTACCAGTATGTTCTTTGTAAATCTTGCACCATACAGTCAATATCAATCATGTGACTTTGAGAACTCAAATACTAAAAAAAAAACAGTAATTACAAGTTGCTGCTTCCAATAATTTAGTTCAGTAAGATGTTCATGACAATTGTTCACAACAAATCAAGAGAATCATGGCTGCTATTCTGAATATTTGATTTATCTTTCTATCTGTCAACAACCAATCTAAACATGGACCATACACACCTAAAGCAACGATTGTAACTTAATACACTTCCTAATAACATGGTGAATTACCACAAGATGTTGACAGTTTGGTTCACACAGTAGTTATTATTTTAAAGGAGAAGTCAAGACTAAGAAAAACTAAGAAATTTATGGTGGCCAAAAAGACAATTGCCTTGAAGACCGCCTAACTGCCTTGGTGCTCTTAAAGTTCACAGTTTCAATGAGACCAAGGAATTTTCACATAGAGGAATGAAATTTACATGTACATTTTGTCTATATCACTTCATGTTAGTATACATTGACAATCATTTTGATTTTCCAGAAAGAAATTATGGATAAAATATTACATCACAACCACTCTATACAGAAAATGAAGAAAACTATTTCATCCAGAACATAAGAAATACTGATGCGAATTGGTTAAAATTTTCAAGGGGCTCATTACTTGTGTATATAATTATAATAACAGAAAATACTAGTAGAATGTTGCAAAGATGCAAAAAGTAAAGTCATTACCAAAAGGGTAAAAAAAAATAAAGATGATTACCGGTACATTGTATTTTGATCGTTGCAAATAGAATGACACTTTTTTGTCCCTTTTTTGCAATCAACAGGCTACATATAATCTGTATGAGCTACTCTCATTGATAAATTGTATAAAAAATACGAATAATTAAGCATTTGATAGAAAAATTGTAAAAATCCAAAAATTTTAACCATGACAACCATATGTATGGTTAGCACCAGTATGCTACCCATGTTTTAATCTTTAACTTTCGAAGTTATTATTTTTTCAATTTTCGCAACAGTGGCTATGATGTCATACTTGACCCATAATCCTTTGTCGGAGAATGAAATAAAATAATAGTTTGAGTATCTAGAGAGTGAAAAGTGATATAAAAACTGTGAATTGCATTTTCCTGCATTTGTGGATCTCTTTCATCTGGAAGCATTAACATTTACTACAACGTTTTTTTTTTTAAATTGCAACAGTATAATGAACATGAAATACCCATGAAAAGAAATAAAACATTTCAGGGCCAAGAACTTACTAATTCGACCCTTTTCAGTAGTTGTCTGTCACCAATATATACTTGCTGTTTTGATGGAGTCGATGAGGTAGACCTGGATTTCTTTCCCATGGTGATTGACAGAGCTGTGCTTAAGACTATAATTCTCAGATCGGGTGCAAAGTCTGGTTTATATTGATCCCAAATAATACTTAAAGACGTCTACATTCGTTTAAATTGAATAACTAATTGGAAAGTTACTTTATTTTCATACGCACAGAGTGGCAGTGTTAAATGAACGACCACAATCACGTTTCGGCGATGGAAGTCGCCATTTTACCGGAAGTGCCTTTTTTGAGAAAATGAAGTTGGCTTCAGATTTAGATTCGAAATGATTTTTCTATTAGATTCACAGAAAGTTAGGGGAAGACCGAGCAGACAAAATGATGCCTTCAGAATAAAGAGCTCCACCAATGTAGGAGAATACAATTTAGTATTATGTAGTCATTATTTTGATTCTTCGGCAAAGATATTTAATATATCATAGACACAATTGTGAAAAATGATTTCATCTATCTGGTAAAAAGTTGAATATCTAGGGAATGACAAAAACAAAACTGCCGATTGCATTCTGCTAAAATTGTGGAGCTTTTCATCTGAGAACATTAGGTTGTTTGCCCAGTCTTCCCCTTACAGTATCACAGTGAACTTCGTAAAGGCAATCTGATTTAAATCTGATGTATTGCACGACTTAAATTTAATTTAATTTTTTTATATTTTATGTATATTTTTATTATATATGGGCTTTTATGATTACCAAAAATTTCAAAAACTAAAATAAGCAACAAGCAAATAAATAATAAATTCAAGTAAAAGAAAGTGTATGAAAGTGTAAGAAAAAATAATTAATTAATAAAGCCCAAACTAGGATCTTATTTTAATAAGTTTGGGCATAGATTTCTTTTATGGAAGTTTATAAAATATTATTAAACTTTACCCTGGTAGATCTTTACTACAATCTGAACCGTAACTCCCATAAGTCTTTGCGGAATTTCTTCAGTCATAGGTCAATTTCAGTGGCCCCCGCAAAAATAAATGTCCAAAATCAAGCTGAAACCCTGCATGCCAGCAAGATTTGGATTTTAAAACAAAAGACAAAATTATGTTAATTAATTTAGGCAAATTTGTATACCAAGGCTTCTTTAATGAGAAAACTTCATTAACTCTAAATTACCAGCTGCCTCATAATTTTTTGTTTTTTTCTCTTATTTTTTCTTTTCATTTCATTTTAACTGTTAACATTTAACTTTATTGTATTACGAACAATATCTCAATTAAGGCTACGTTTATCAATAAAGATTATTATTATTACTGTCATGTATCCGTAAACCTGCGTCGATAACAACCGTGTTACTTTAACCAGTGTGCGAATCATAGGCAGAATCCGAATTTTTCGCTAACTTTAGCTTCGCGGACAGAGGGCGCACATTTGACCAAGAAGGAGTGAAACATGGCGACATTAATGAGAATGCCTCTTGGCACTGCAACTTTCAGGCGATTGACAAGTGGGTTAACTCGTTTAAGAAGACATGTATCTTCAACGAGTAGTCTCAGCAATGAGGTGGGTAACGATCAGCTATTATTTTATTACAGCACACTTTTTCAAACACGTGGTTTATTAGATCATGGAACTATCATTAGATTGCGTTACAGACCCGGTGTTTTACTAGTACGTTTCCTTGGCTGTACCACGTTGCAATTTAACATTCGTCCCACAAGTCGATTCGTTCCAATTCACTTTCTCTCCAAAACCCTTTCGTCCCATTGCCTATTGTGGTATTCTGGGTGGACCCGTAGCAAAATCACGCACATACACCTGTGGTTATTCTTATGATCTAGTGCATGGCGTCTTCTAATATATATTGGTAACGAGACAATCATGCTTTAATAATACATACATGTATAACATACATACAAGTGAAAAGCGCAGTACAGTATCTCCTTATTGTCCGATATTCAGAAATAAACAACTGACCATTACAAGTCTTCTTATATTATAACAACTTCATTTATTCAAACTCTATCTAGGCACAGATCTAGAAGCAGTACCTACACACGAATTGGTGACGTCATAAAATACATGACCTTCAATCGGGGTCGTTTCCTCGGTATATACGAATTGGTATATACAAATTACAATAAAGATACTTAAGACATTACACATAAGGTAAAACAAATCACGTGACAATATAATGATAATAACGGTAATAAATCCTAGCTTAACAGTTGAACAGAACGCTCATATAGTCAGTCGGGTGACGCCGAGGGTCACGAACTGTGTTGCAAAATGGCCGTGTGGTTGAAACTGGGTCATGGCGTGACGGGTGAGGAAGACATCATTAAACACTCAAAATCACAATAAAACGGGGAAGTGGTTGCATATTACGGCGTAGCTAACATGGAAAATAAAAAAACGCCCAATACAAACGACATGGGTTCGAATCACACTAGATACACACTCACCAGAACCGAAGCAATCAGAAACCAGCAATCGTTTTGGCTTTTCCGTTCAACTCATCGGAACACTGGAGTAGTTAGAAAAATGAACACCACTTAACGACCAACGTCGTGGCGTGGTACACAAGCGTGCCATCAAAATAAAACAAAATTAGCTTGAAAAG